TTGCAAATCATCAACACCTACAGCACGGGTATAAGGGAGCAGTGGTGACAGTAGTGATGGAGAGAGGGGGAAGAGACTGTGGCACTGCTGTGAAGAGACAGTGGCAAGGTGTAACCAGAGGAACCTTGAAGATGTAGCCACACTTAAAGGTTTGGCTTGCTGAACTGAAACCTGAAAAAGCTGAGTTCTAACTGCTCTGAGATTGTGAGATATTCTTTGCCTCCCCTACTTTCCAAGCCATTTCCCTAAGAAACCGTACAACTGATTAAAATCTGTGAGTCTTGCAACAAATTTTAAAATGGAACCAGTGATTGGTAGGAGAAGGTGCAGGAACATTGGGTGTGGCATGTCTGATTAGGTAGTTGTGTAGTGCTATAAATATTATTGATGAAGATAGTACCCCTTTATGAAGTAGGAAAAAGTCGGACTCAGCCTCCCCAGGTTGCACCTCCCCTTATACAGTTAGTTAACCTCTAAAGAAGCAAAAACACTGTTAATGAAAGTCTTTGTGTGTTATAGCATATCAGTTTAATATTAAATGATACTCCACTGAAAACTGTTAGGTGCTATTTGATCCTTGACACTACAGTACCCTAGAGCTCCTTATATAATTAAAATATACTTTGTATATAGAATATTGCAAATTATGTAGATTTATAATTTTTGTGACACTTGCCTTTGTCACTTGCAGTTATCATATGTGTAAATATGAAAATATTAGATCCATGATTGAGAATGTAGCTTCTGAATTATAATATGGTTTATTTTCAGTATTGGCATCTTTACTGTTCAGTTAAAGGGATTTTTTTTTTGTTCAAAATGGCTTCCTAGCCATTTAACTTTGACTTTGCCATGTGGATAGGTGGGAATATGCAGATAGCTTTGACTTTGCCATGTGGATAGGTGGGAATATGCAGATAGTGTGTGTTAGCCTATCCATGAGATGATTGGCTAGTCTCGCCATTAACTTGAGCAGATTCAAGAACAAATGAGAGGATCTTCCCAAACAGCAAAGCAGCAGCAAGAGAATGTAGTGTGTCCTTCGGCTCCAGAGGTACTTGTGCCAGGCTGACTAGGACCTACGGGAACAGCAGCCATAGCAGCCACAGCAGAGAACCAGAAACCTGACACGACATGGGACATTGGGATTGCTGAGCCACGAAACCGGAGCTAAGAGCCTGTTGAATAACTTTCGGTGGGGTAGGAGCCAGGGAGAGTCATAATTGGCACGACAAAGAGCTTTGTAACACTGGACAAAAGTCACAAGTCTCAACACTGAGATGCCAAAGAGCACATTTTGAATTCTCTCCTGATTGAATGAGTGTATTCTACTACTAACCTGAATTACAGGCTTTTGACTTACTTGTTCTGTGTGGTTCTGTGAGCTATTGCATTGGATTTTGGACCCAGGAAAGCAGTAAGATTGATATTAGAATGAATAGAAAGAAGTGCAGGAGCGTTGGGACATGTCTGGCCTCTTGAGAATTGGTTTTGTTTTGTTGATGTTGCTGACAGTGATATTCCCCTTTGCAAAGTTGGTAAAGTTTTTATATTTACTTACATCCTTGTGACCACAGGCAAGTCATTAAATTCCTTTGAGCCTTAAATGGGAAGCTAAATATGTAACTAAAACCATGTTCTTCTTGTTGTTATGTGCCGTTGAGTCGCTTGCGACTCATAGCGACCGTATGTACAACAGCTCTAAACTCTACTCTGTCCTGTGCCAATCTCATTGTCTCCAACACACTCATCCCGATTGCCCCCGTCACTGAATCAGTCACCTCCCAGAGGGCCTTCCCCTCCTGTGCCTGCCCTCCACCCTCCCAAGCATGATGTCCTTCTCCAAGGACCGGTCACTCCTTACAACATGACCAAAGTATGTCAGACGTAGTCTCAGAATCCTTGCCTCCAAGGAGCAGCCCAGTTTAACCCTCTCCAGGGTGAATCTGTTTGTTTCCTTACCAACTCATGGTACCCTCAGCACTCTTCTCCAACACCAGACCTCAAAAGCATCACTTCTCCTTCTATCCTCCCTGGTCATTGTCTAGCTCTCTGACGCATAACAGGTGATTACAAAGACCCAAAGACCATGGCCTGTACCAGACGCACCTTAATCTCCAGAGACCCCATTGCTCTTCAGTACTTTAGAGAGGTTCCTAACAGCAGACTTTCCCATCGCAATACGTCTTAATTTCCTGGCTGCTGGTGCCAAGAGTGTTGATGGTGGAACCAAGTAAACTAAAACTGTTAACTGTCTCAATCTCTTCACCATCCATCCTGATGCTGCCAATTGGTCCAGTGGTGAGAATCTTTGTCTTCTTGACATTGAGCCTCAGTCCATAATGAAGGCTGCAGTCCTTGACCCCTCTGCAGCAAGCGCTTCAGGTCCTACTCACTTTCAGCAAGCAGAGTTGTGTCATCTGCGTAACGCAGATTGTTGACAGATCTTCCACCAATCGTAATGCCGCATTTCTCCTCATGTATGTGAAACTCACTGTAAACTGTAAAGTGCTTTAGATAGGGCATTATTTCTTAAGAGTAATGGTGATTTTTGTTTTACTACTGTTGTACTCATTAATATTTAAATCAGTTGTTTTTGTTGTTGTTATGTGCCGTCGAGTCGCTTGCAACTCATAGCGACCCTGTGTACAAGAGCCCTAAACTCTGCTCTGTCCTGTGCCAATCACACTGTCTCCGATACACCCATCCCAGTTACCCCAGTCACTGAATCAATCCTTCCCCTCCTGCGCTGTCCCTCCACCCTACCAAGCATGATGTCCCTCTCCAAGGACCGGTCCCTCCTTAAAACATGTCCAAAATATGTTAGACGAAGCCTCAGAATTCTTGCCTCCAAGGACCTGCCTGGTTTAACCCTCTACAGGATGAATCTATTTGTTTTCCTAGCAGTCCATGTTACGCTCAATACTCTTCTCCAGCAAATAGGTTAGATTTGTTAAATTGCAGTAAATCTTTCTTCCCCCAACTGGTAAAGCAGAAATTTATTAAAATCCATTTATATAGTGTTTACTCACACAGAAAATGATCAGCGTCAACATTCAGGCAACTCCATTTTCAGGACTTTAAGAGACAGAAATCTCTGCCTTCCAATATACCACTGAAAATGATGCATTTTATTATATCACCTCTCTTAAGACAGAATCCTTCTGAAGACCTAAGCCAGCCCTTCTTTTGCAGAGAATGAAGAGATAGCAGCAGAGCCCTGCTCCGAGATGCAGTACCGCGTAGTGCAAGAGATACAGACAGGGTAGCTGCCCACAGCAGTGGGGCCTCCTACCTCCGCAGCATGGCTAGTGGAGACTGCATAGCCTTCAGGGCCTCCTCCTCCTCCTCTTTGTCCTCAACAGCCATGACTCCTGGAGGCTCGGTGTCTGGAAGGATGTAGGTCATTTTACTGGGTGCTTTGCCCAAGGCCTCTGCTGTAATTTCAGACAGAATCTTGTCAGTTTCCATTTCTGCCTCTCTTCTGTTACTTTCTGATCATCCATGCCTTCAAAGGTGTCTTCTAGCATCTTTTCTATGATTCCAGCCTTCATCATCTCCTTAGACAGCTCCCACATGGTGGCCTGCATTTCCGGGATCCTCATGAAACTCTGCATGGCTTTCATCACCTCTGTGCTCTTCTGCAGAGAGCCAGCCACTTGTAGAATGGCCAGCTGGTTCCGCGTGCCCATGAGCAGGGAGTTCATGTGGGCTTTGGACGCATAGAGCTTGCTCACAGCCTTCCGCGCCTCCTTGACCAGCACCACGCAGATGTCCTTCTGGCCTTTCTTGGCAGCATCCTTCATGGAGCATTTGGGTGGCTTCTCCTGGGTTTTTCCAGACAGCCCCATGGTGAACTGAGTTTATGTATACTGGCTTTCCCCTTCCTGCTTGCCATCCCCTCCGCCCGGGCCGCTTGCAGGCAACAGTCGGGTGCAGCAAATCTTTATATATCCTATACATTTTTAAAAAAAAATATGTTCTGCTGACAATGATAAATTGGTACATTTTCAACAGCTGAATTTTTAGGAGGGAAATGGAATCAAGCATATAACAAGGATGGCATAGGACAGGATTCAGATCTGTTGTTCCTAGGCTCACATTGTTAGTGGTGGTGTGCTGTCGAGTTGAATACGACCCAAAGATACCCTGTGAACAACACATTTGTACTCTGTCCTATCCTGTGCTATCCTCACACTTTCTGACATGCAAGAAGAGCCTATTGCAGCAGTCATCGTGTCAGTCCACCTGGTTGAGGGTCTTTCTCTTCTTCATCAACCCTGCGGGGTTACTATGAGTCATACTTAACTCCACAGCATTTAACAATATCGCAGTGTAAATGCTTCCTTCCACCATTATCACAGTCAGGTCACCCAGGTGTAACACTGAACGCAGAGCTGGGAAGAGTTTTGCACAGCCAGGAGGAGCCAACACAGTACATAGAGAACTAAGATATAATTGTTACATGCGCAGGCATACCCAAATCCAAACCACTGCTCTTGAGTTAATTCTGACTCATTATGACTTGTCAACAGGTTTGTGAGGCTGTAAATATTGAGAGGATATTGTCTTATTTTCTCCAGTGGAAGTTGGTGGATACAAACCACTGATTTTTCAGTTAACAACCCAGTATATAACATAGATTGCCACCAGGGTTCTTTGTAGGCATAAAGGAATCATAATTAATCATGGAAACGTTGAAACTATTTTAGATTTTAAAGACATTTTAAGAATATTATTTTAATTGTCTCTGGAAACCAGAACTCTGAAGTTAGACCTGGGTTCTCTTTCTGACTCTGTACTCACTATCTCTGTAACCTTGGGTAAGTCAGATTATCCACCTCAGTGGAGAGGGAAAGATAAGTGAATTGATTCCCACCTGGTGTCTGTGCAGACTACAGGTTAAAAAGAGAAGAAAAGGACAGCTTTAAAACTGTTGTCAGCTTTTCATGGTTATAATGGCATGTCAAACTGATTTTTATATGATTTTCTTTTTTTAGCTGACATGGGTTTTGCCAGATTATTCAATTCTCCTCTAAAGCCTTTAGCAGATTTGGATCCAGTAGTGGTGACATTTTGGTATCGGGCTCCAGAACTTTTGCTTGGTGCAAGGCATTATACAAAAGCCATTGGTAAGTTAGTTGAAAATGACTTACTGGTATTGTGCTACCATAAATAGCAAACAGTATAGTAATAATAAAGCTACTTGGCAAAAAGCCACATATGACTTTCTGTAAAAGATCTATTGTCTCCTATATTTCTAGATTTTACATTCTGGGAGATTTAGACTATTAACTCTATAGAAGGGTATTGTTCTTTTAAAAGGAAGCTTATTCTCTATGGGGGGAAAAGGGTATCTGAGCCCTATTGTTGCTATGGAAACAATAACATGCAAATTTTATTTTGTACTCATCTAGGTATTGGTGAGAGAATTAGAATTGTTTTCTTTACAAACAGAAAAACAAGACTAATACAATGTGTCACAGAGAGTGCCCCCTCTGTTTGGGGAGAAGTTGGTCAGCCACATGCCCTTGCCATTACATTTATCAGAATTGTATTTACTCTTGTTACTGTAAGAAATAGATGGAGTCTGGGTAGACTAGCAGTGCTCAGCATCTAGCCATCTAACCTAGTTTTAAAAAACCAAAAAAACCTCCACCAAAACCTGAACACTAAGAAAACCTGTTATAAACATGCTCCTAGAATTTAAAATCTGCTTTAAGAAGATTTTGGCACTTGATCCTTCATTTGCTGTGAACTGAGGCATCATGAGGAGAGCACCATCCTCAAGCCCAGAAATTTCTTCAACCTTCTTATGATGCATTTGTTTTCTGTTTGGAATTTTTGTTGTTGTTGATGCCATGTGTTTTCAGTAATGGAAGCTATGCTGAATCAAGAAGCATATCTGAAACATTGTTAGGAAAATGAGATTTTGACACATACTATGTAGGGCACATATGTCCTCCTTACTGAACATTCTCCTGTCTAGATCTGTTGACAGGTGCATACAACTTGGGTGCCTGAAATTGCATATTCACAAGAAAATGAAATCAATGAGTCAAAGGCAACTTCCAAATACTACTCAAGAGCATGAAAATATACCCATTATTGAGATTATCTATCAGTACGAAGTGAAAAGAGACAAAAGTTTTGCAGCATCACATCTCTGGGGTACATCTCCTCATACAATATCTTGTAGAGAAGTAGTAATGTGTAATGTACATACCTGTTTATTCTGTTTCAAACAATTATACAGATCATCTCCTGATGGATGCATGGTCAGCAGGAAAGGAGCTAGCTGCCCCATAAACCCTAGAAGAAAATGTATGTGTCTTGTGGTTCATAAAAAATGTTAAAGAGGATGAAAAATAAAGGAGAAAGAGTATTAGCAAGAGAGTACACAGTAACTGAATCGTGCCGGTTCTGTACCTGAATTTGTGAAGTATAATCTTTTAAATGTTCCTTTTGCTGGATAGTCTACATATTAGGTTTGTATCACTTTTGTCATTTAGTTGCTTTTTTTTTAGCTCTATTTAATAAAGGCCTTAAAAGGATAAAATTATTAAAGAAGGACAACTAAGCATAATATTTTCTTTGCTAGTTTATGAAAATCTCAGTGGCACTCAAGAAAACTACCACGGAGGTCTTACATTTGGAAATATAAGACTGATAGTTGTTGGCCTTCAAGCATTAATTGATTCATGAGTGAAGGTGGCCAGCACAATTTTTCAGGGGGTCTGAATTCTGCAAAACCCAGAGTCCAGAATGTTTTTGCTTTTATCCAGGAACTGGGATTCTTAACGGTGCCTGAATGTTGAGTGATTTTCTTAAATTTGTGAAAAACCTTGTGAGTCATTGCAGAGTGGTGAGGGATACCATGTATGTTTGACAGCAGAGGAATGTAAGCCTGATCCTCTACCCTCCCCTCAGCACTTGAATCCTTCAGCAATTGAAGGCAGCAGATAAGAGACTGCCAGAGACTCCCTGTCAGTGGGGGACATGGCAGCGGTCTGAAAGTGAAGGAAGGGAAGGTACGGAAAGCAACTGGAAGGGATTGAGAGGCTCTAAGATGAAGAGTAGCAGAAATCAGAGAGACTGGCTATTTACATTCCAATAACTGTTATTGAGGGACTGCATTTTTGAGATTTTTGGATTTCTGTTTGCAGCTTCTGTTATTTATGTTTTCTTTACCCATCACTGAAAACAGTAAAATCATCCCTTATAAGAATAAGGCACCAGAGGATTGGAAGAAACAGAATATAAGCCAGGAAAAAGGGGATCATAGTTGAAAGTTAAAAGTCGTGGTGCGCTGGACCAGCAAGTGGTTGGTGGACCAGGGCAAGAAGAGGGAAATAAGAGGATTCAAGAACAGTAGAAATCCTTTTAGCCTGGGCTCTCACCAAATATTTGTGCAGTCTATATGTGAAAAAGAGAGATTAAGAAAAGGCATATTCAAAAAAAAAAAAGAAAAGGCATATTCAACTAAAAGCTTATGTTAACCTAAATGACTTTCCACCAGTCTGTCCTATTCCCAAAGAGTGTTGTAAGTAAATTTATGGCCTATTTTTTTTTTCTGTTTTAAAATATGCACCCTTAGGTAGTTTCCAAAACCATGCTCTGAAGAGTACAATTTCATAAATATTTTTTGATTAGCAACTCTAGTGCTGAAATGAAAATAGAATCTATTTTGGAGGGGAAGTGAAGGTTATTGGATCTGAATTGAGAACCAATTCTATTTCTAATTTTCTCTAGGTAAGGAGAACTAGCTTGCAATTTACTTGCTCAGTAAATGAGATTTACCACTTAAAGACAAAAGCATAATCATTCATTTCTAATTTTAGTCAAGTCCCAATTATCCATGCTGGATAGAAGAAGTTAGAAGGAAAAAAAAGAAAACACAGAAAGAGAATAACCCCCCCACATCTCTGGTTCAAAATATATTTGCAGCAGGCTCCTTAGAATACACACATCCTTTTTCTTCTTCATGCCCACTCCATGTCAGAAATGAGCATGCTTTCTATTTAGAGGATAGGAAAACAGAGTTTTATCAGTGGAGGGTTTTGGAGGGGCAATTACAGTCATATGTCTGGGTGGGCATGCGTGTGCATATGCTAGGAAATGTCATTATAGAAGAGAGCTGAGGGAAGGGTATAGATGGTAATGGAGCCAGATGACTACTTAAAATTAGAAGCTAATTTGAGGCAGAGAACCCTAGATTTGACTCCCTCTGCTGCTCTGAGATTCTGTCTCTTAGCAGTTCACAGGGATTCCAGATCCTGGCTTGCGTACTTTAAATAGGGGACAAATTGGAAATCCACATGATTGGCATCATATCATAGTCCTCAAAGTCCCAGTCATCTGCAGAGTAGAGGGAGCCAGTGGGAAGATGGACAGGGCCATCAAAGCAGCACATCAGGGACCAGGACGACAACCAGATGATATGGGGGAAGGAAAATAATTAAAGAGCAGACACCCAATAGTATTATTAACCCTGGTTAATGATGAATGTCCCTGATGGTGATAATCATGCTCCATTACTAAGAATGATTAGGTAAAGCTTTATAGCCTCTAAAGATAGCAGGTAATAGTATAACAAGAAATGGCTATTTAATGAATATGTTCATGTTATGCAGAAAGGCTAACTTTTGTGCAAAGAAATAGTTCTCTAGTGAGGTCACATAAATGAGACCTTATTACATGCTTTGTTCTGTTTGGTAATTTGTTTTGTGAAATTAGTGTACTAATTCTAGCATTTATATGATTAAGCTTATTTGTTACTTAATTCATCTACAGTATGTGTACAATCAGTATACAATTTTGTAGTCTCAGAATATAAATGACAGTTTTTCAATATGTAAAATTGAAACAATGTAACTGATGACTTGAAACAGGTAATAAAACTTTAAGAGATTCCTGATTTAATCCTAATTGTGGGTTAGTAGGTGGGATAGTATCTAATTGAATATGCTTAGGTAAGGTCTGTCTCTACTGGTTTCATGCAGTGCTTGTGTATATGCTTGTATTTATTTATCATTTTCTAGACCTTACAATTTTTTGGAAAAAACTGAGATTGGTTGTTGTTGCTAGGTACCGTTGCGTCATGTGTGACGCATAGTGATTCTGTGAACAACAGATCTGAACCATGTCCTGTCCTGTCCTATCCTCTTTATCTCATTGAATCTCAGGGATTTTCATCATAATCAAAAACCTCTATGAGATTGGTAGTTACTGATAAAACCAAAATTTTCCAAATCTTTCAGAGATGTCTAGACGGAGAATTTAATAAATTCTGTTCTTTGATTATGCATTTAAGTACCATACAGAAATTATATCACCATTTATTCTTGTTGTTAGGTACTCTTGAATGGGCTTTTAATCATCACAACCTACATAAAACAGAATGAAAGAACAGTCCTGTGCCATCTTCACAATCTCTGCTGTGTTCAAACTGATAGTTGCACTCACTGTGACAGTCCATCTCCTAGAAAGTCTTCCTCCAGCTGATGTTATTGTTACACATTAGTTCTTGCAAATTTATTTAATAGGCCTTGTTTAGACTAACAGTTTAATATTTCAGTGATAAATAATTGTGAGTGGTCAGGAAAACTTTTGCCTAATGCTAAGGGGTTTATTTTATTACTTGCTATAAAGCTTAGCTTTAGAAAATTTACAGAATGTTTTAAAGGCTTTAAATTTTATATAATTATTTTATATTTACTGGAGCTCTGGAGGCCTGGTGGCAAGAAGCTGTGCTGCAGTGCCAAAGGCATGGTGGGCAGTCTCTTTTCTCCCCTGAAACTTTATTCAAACACTAATCATCAGTGCCTTCGAATTGTGGTGCTGGAGAAGAGTCTTGAACATACCATGAACCACCAAGAAAACAAATAGATTAGTCTTGGCGAGGGTGAAACCAAGTTCCTCCTTGGAGGTTAGGATTTTGAAGCTCCTTCTCACATACTTTGGGCACATGGCCAGGAGGGACCAATCCTTGGAGAAGAACATCATGCTCGGAAGGGTGGAGGAGACAGCGCAGGAGAGGAAGACCCCAATGAGATGGATTGATACAGTAACTGGGGCAATGGGGTTGGTGTGTCAGAATCAGTGAGACTGGCTCAGGACAGGCAGGACAAGGTACAGAGCTGCTGTACTTAGGGTCACTGTGGGTCACAGGCGACTTGATGTTACATAATAACAACAACAAGAAGGAGTTTATTACTTGATGTAAAGTTAAGCTGTTACAAGGTTTTCAATTTTATATATTTGTATGTGTGTATTTTTCTCTTCCTTGTATACTGCTTCACTGGAAAGTTTCCTGTGCCTAGGTTGTGATTATAGTGAGGAATTATAACCAAGGAAATATATGTAAAAATATGTACAAAACTTGTTTTTCTTCTTTCATAGATATATGGGCAATAGGTTGTATATTTGCTGAATTGTTAACTTCAGAACCTATTTTTCACTGTCGTCAGGAAGATATAAAAACAAGCAATCCCTTTCATCATGATCAACTTGATCGGATATTTAGTGTCATGGGATTTCCTGCAGGTGAGTTATTTCCTCTTTTTAAATCAAGCATATTTAAGAAAAAAAATTAGGAGATTTTTAGAAGAAAAAGAAAGTATATCCTATAATAATAATAATAATTTTGGGTTTTTTTGTAAGATAAAGATTGGGAAGATATTAGAAAGATGCCAGAATACCCTACACTTCAAAAGGATTTTAGAAGAACAACGTAAGTAATTTCATATTAAATAGAGATGGAAAATTCAGTGGGAACATTTAATCTTTTAAAAAGTCAAATGTAATGATTACTTAAAGCCACAAACTTAGATTATGTACAATAAATTTTTGCCTGTGATTTAAAAGGGAAATATATTCCAGGCATAGATTGTAGTGTTTAAAAAAATTTAGCTGTGAAGTAGATCTTTAAAACTTCTCTTCTGTCTTAGCTTGAAAAAGTCTTAGTTCTAGGTTGCAGCTGTGATTTTTATCTTTATTTGAGTCATAACTGGTGACTGAAACCAGGAGGAATGGCAGAAGGATCTGAAGCAAACAAAGTGGTGGAGAAGTGTACATTAAGTACAAATAAGAGGAGAGTAAAGGTGAGGTCCTGATCAGAATCCTTTGTAAACATGCACATCTAGAGAGAAAGGTGAAAGCCTCTCCCTTTGAGCAACTTAACAGAATTTCAGGATAGGATGCCTTACTGAAACGAAACTATAGACCCTAAGGAGAAATAAAGAGTGCTAGTGATCATCTCTGGCCCCTCTTTCCCATTGTCCTTGGTGAGTCTTTCGTCTCTGTCCCGTGTTTAAAGTAGCACTTCTATTGCTCAAGATCCTATCTGGACTCTCTTCATTCTAGACATTTTCCCAGGCAATCCCCTAAAATTTGATGGCCACAGTTTGTTTAATGCTAATACAATATATAGCCTGCTTTGAGCTCTTTTACAAGTTTCATTTATGTATTTGTTTTCAAGAATGTCAACTAGACTGTTTTATAAGTACTTCACATTAAACATACAAAGCTGAACTTAGCTATCCCCATAAGTCTCTCTTCATACTCTTATTTTGTGTCCTAAGATGCAGGCACTTAATTTCTTAAGCCAAGACTTGGGTACTTTATTCTGTTTTTCTACTTCACTGTCTTCTGTCTCACCTCATCATCTAAACCTCCTTCATTCTGAGTATCATCTGAATTTTTGTATTTCTCTCCATCTGTCCTATTGTTGGCCAGACCACAACCATCTTTCCCCTAGAATCCTGCAGTGACTTCCTTAAGCAGTATTTCTGCACCTGTTCCTACTTACAACTCTCACTGACTATATCAGTGTCATGGCTTAATACAAATTTGATCATGTTAGTTCCTAACTCAGTTTCTCAGCTACCAACTAGGGTTCCAACTGCTAGGATTCCAGCTCCTAGCAGACCTCTCCCAGATTTCCGAGACTAAATCCCAATAAGAAAAGACTGCCCATCTTTGTCCTGTCAAATCCTGGTGGATTTGACTAGCTTTTGCATTAGCAATGGCACTTGCTTAATTTACATTTGCTTTCAGTTCCTGTGGCCTGTGGGATGCTTCTCTAGGTGCGTCTCCTCACCATTCTGTACATCGTTTTCTACAACCCAGGCTTTGTGTATTCCTTTAAGGACCCTCAGCTTTCCTTTGTCTTTGGGTTCAATCTAGAATATACTTACATTCTTCCATTTTCTCCGTCATTTTAACTCCTACCTGTCCTTTCAGTTTATACTTTAGGCTTGAGCATCATCTCCCTGATGAAGCCTCCTTGAGCTTCCAGGTCCGAGTGAGGTGCTGTCCTTCTGCCCTCCTCTTGCATCTTGAGCTACTTCTGTCAGCACCAATCACCTTGCATTACAGTTAATTTTTAAACAGTTGCCTGTCTTTTCCTCTCAATAGCATGGACCATGTGTATCATATACACCAGTGTATCTCTTCAGAGGTGAGCACATACATGCTCAATGTCAAGTAGATAATTGAAGACATTCCAATTATACCAAACATGGAGAACTTTAATGAAGGCATTTAATATTTAGCTTCATATTTAAAGACAATAGAAATTTTTACCAACTAGATTTGGCTTAACCATTGAGTTGACTCTGACGCATAGTAACCATGTGTACATCAGAGACCCTTCATAATCTTATGTCCAGTCCTGCCCCCTCCCCACAATCTATGCTGTGCTTAAGCCCATTGTTGTAGTCACTATGTCAGTGCATTTTGTTGGGGGAGGGTATATCTTTTCCTTTACTCACTCTCTACTTTTCTAAGCATAGCACCCTTCACAGACTGGCCCCTCTTTGTAATATACATTTACAATAACTAAAAATAAGAAGAAGTTCATTTTAAGAGAATTAGAATGCAGCTAGACAAGTAATGGGAAAAGTTTAGTAACAACAGCGCATAATTCCTAAGCAAATCATTCTTCCCACATACATACCTAAAACAAAGAACTAAATAAAGATTAAGTGGCACTAATGGCTAACTTTCTTGACTGCTAACAGAAAGGTTAGTGGTTCCAGTCTACCAAGAGATCCTTCAGAAGATGGATTATGCTCTACTTCCGAAAAATCAGCCCTCAAAACCTTATGGAGCACAGTTCTATCCTGACATACTACATAACTCACCTTGAGTTGAAATCGACTGATGGGAAACAGGTTTAAATCTATCTGAAGCTATCCAGATATCTCTATATAAAATTGAATATATTCAGGTCTCTAAATACTGCTCAGTTCTGCAGTCTCCATACTCTGTGTTACATGTGATCCCATTATAGCTATCATGTCTTTCCATTTTAGTGGGACTCTTCCTTTCTTGCTTTACTCTTTGCTTTGCCAAGCATGATGCCTCTCTCTCAAAACAGATGGGTCCCTCCTGATAATATACTCAAAGTATATGAGACAAAATCTCACTATCTTTGTTTCTAAAGAGCATTCTAACTCTACTTCTTCCAACACAGAATTTGTTTAATATTCTTCACCAACACATGAGGGTATCTCTTCTCCTTTAGTTTTCCTTATTCATTGTCCTACTTTCACATGCATATGAAGGACTGAAAATATCATGGCTTGGGGCAGATGCACCATAGTCCTCAGAGTACTATCCCTCCTCCTCTTTGAGGAGGACATTGTTCCTGCTGTAGGGGGCACATTAGCTACCGGCTCCTGATCCTGACATACTCTTGTTTGCTTTTGCTTCATATGTCCTTCTTTCTTGGTCACAGCCCTTCTAGAGAGCAATCATTATTCTGAATTTTTATTTGTTATTCCTTCATCTTATAGTTTTATATATAAATACATATGTTAGTAGATTTATTATTGCCTTTTACCTTTCAATTTTTTATTTATAACTTTAGTTCTCATTTTTGCTGTTGAATAACATTCCATTCTGTGACTACATAGCAATTTATTTGCCCATTCCTCAGTTGATGGACATTTGGTTGTTAACAAACTTCTGTTATTACAAAAGTGCTGCTAAGAGCATTAACTTTCATGTATCCTAATGATGTGTATGCAAAAGTATAGCTTAGACTAGAATGTTTCACTATGAATGAAATTGTTGTGTCATAGAATACATATATTTTCAGTTCAAATGGTTTCTATAAAATTATTTTCAAAAGTAATTTCATATACACTTTTACATGCATTATATACCAATGAATAGAATTGCTAATTATATTAGTTCATGTAGTCATAGCTGTTTTCAGATGAAGATGGCAAGTGATGTTCATTTTTTCCATGTTTTTGATAAGAACTAAAATAAAAGCTTTAATTTTGATAATAATAATAAAAAAAGAAGCCCTGTTTCAATGTGTGTTCCTTTTTAATCATGGAAAACAATTCTTCTTAAACACACATGCCTTACAGGAAAAGTGATAGGGACACTAATGTTGAAGTGTTTAATTAAAAAATAGACAGTTGTGGAAGTGTTCCCAATAATATGTGATTGTCCATGCCCTTGCAGGTACGCCAACAGTAGCCTCATAAAGTACATGGAGAAACACAAAGTCAAGCCTGACAGCAAAGTATTCCTCTTGGTAGGTACATTGCTCACAGACTGTGAAATCTGATCCTCAGTGCAGGCCTCACCTCATGCCATTTACCTCCTCTTTAAAAGGAGAAGAAAATGCTGGGTGCTGCAGCAGAGTGAAATATTTTTCTGTTGAGATGCCACCCCTGACTTCTAGTCTGAATTCTCCCCCCAATCATTTATCTTCAGGAAAAATTGAAATTCTAAACGTTTTACTACTGTTTCTTTTTTCTAATTATATGCAATACAACTATCATACAAAATGTATTTGATGTAAATCTAAACATTAATGCAAAAGCTTAAATGTTGACTTGTAAACAGTGTTTTTGTTTGCTTTCAATATCATTATATGTTGTTACTCTAGCTTCAGAAACTCCTTACTATGGATCCAACCAAGAGAATCACCTCAGAGCAGGCTCTGCAGGATCCTTATTTTCAGGAAGACCCCTTGCCAACTTTAGAGTATGTATTGTAATCTTTTCTTTGTCCTTTGCTCCTGGGACGGCAGCTAAAAGCAGAACAAGTATATGTTGTGAAAGTATTTTACTTCCTTCATTAATATTCTGAAACTCTAAAGATAAAGGTGTCCTATATTTAGGAAAAAAAACACTGAAGAAAAAAGTCAGTGAAAACAAACTGTTTTAGGGGTGCCTATTAGCTTTAAGAGACACTGATGGCCTAGTGGTAAAAGCCATAGTATAATCGCAAAGGTACGCAGTTCAAATCCACCAGCTGCTCCACTGGAGAAGGATGAGCCGTCTCCTCTAATGCACAGACAGCACAGTAGTTTTACAGATGAAAATGAAAGCTATGGACAGTTGAGAGACTCTCATAAAATCAGTTTTTATGAAAAAGATCAAAAAATAAATTAAACCAGTTGGGAGAACTGATAATCTAAAATTTTGTGTATCACAGTATATCACAGAAGACCCTTTACTTCTTCATCCTTATTATATCCAATATAATTTATGCTTAGCTTTCTTAAAGATACAGCTTTTCTTAAAATAAATAAATAAAACCCAAACACAGAAAACAAAAACTTAATCAGCAACAAAAAGAACTGAATTTGTATCTGTTCCAACAATGAAAATAATCAGTTCTTTTGTTGATGATGAAGTTAATTTGCGAAACTACTATGTTATAGAGGGAGCTTTGGTGGCATAGTTGGGAGAGAGCTGTGCTGTCAACACAAGGTGGCATTTCTAGTGGCTCAAATCCACCAGCTGCTTTGTGGACACATATGGACCAAATGTCTATATTACACACATCACCTAGCAAAGCAGCTAAGATTTGTTGTTGAAAGTGACGATACAAGATTTGAGAAAACTATTTGTTCTTTTTCATTGCTTAAATTAAGTTGTACTGGGAGGCATCTAGCAAATAGCAGCCACAGACAGACCCACAAAAAAGGAATAAAAGAACATAGGTAGATCTTTTAAGCAAAAGAAAATGGGTAGAGATAAAGGTGGGGTGTGTGGTAAATAAACAACGTTAATATTTTGGAACTTTTAAATCATGTTGAGACATATATTTCCTTTTTTCTTCCCCCCCCCCCAAATAATGTCTAGTGTATTTGCTGGCTGCCAGATTCCATACCCCAAACGAGAATTCCTTAATGAAGATGAACCTGAAGAGAAAGGTGACAAGGTATAAACTATATTGTACACTTTTCCAAAGGGTAAAGAGGCAAAAAGATATCTTAGGGAAATATACCTAATGATTACTATATATTTAACTGCCTTTGGTTTAAATATGTGTTTAGTTTGGTCTCTGTGGATGTTTTAGTACTGTAGATGAACATTGAGATTTGAATGTGTTTCCTACTGCCAAGGGAGCCCTTTAGAGTAGTGAGAGAAGACCTTCACCCTGAAACCCACAGCATCCCTTTTCAGCAGGAAGTAGCTAAGAGAATACACCATCCCCTTTTCCTTATGAATCAGGGTGAAGTCTCTCTCAGGGAGGAGTGATAGGGAATGGCAAGGGACACACTGACAAAGGAGATTAATCAGAACTGGCTTTGACAAGCACTGTGGCAGTTGGACAATTAAAACAGACATTGGGGTGGGGGGGAAGAAGAATGAACTGGGGATGAGGGTGGAGAAAACAGTGCAACAATGAATGAATGAAAACCCAAAATCTCTGTAAATGTTCATTAAAACTAATAAAATTTAATTTAATAATAAAAAAAAAGAAATAGCTTGCAAATAAATCTTCTTCCTAGTTTGTTTTGTTATGGATTTTCCCTGTTCCCTAATTTTTATCCTTTGTGGTTGCTGTGTGTCTACCATCACTCTGTGTAGATGGGCTTTTCAAAGCAGTTCTGCCCATGTCACTGGTTGTTTCAACCCCCTCTCCAGTCCCCTCTAATGTTGCCAGAAACAGGATGGAAAGACCTTATAGGTATCTTAGTGAGTGCAGACCCTTTCCTCTGGACCTTATGACTAATTTGGAGGCTTACTGTACCTTTTACATGCATCTCAGAGGCAGAGTCCTATGTGTAGGTTCAGGTTATGGTACTTTGACCTTTGGCGATAGTGTATCCCCCAGTACTTCCATCCTGCAGTCAGGTCCAGCACATAAATTCCTCCATAGGTTGGTCAGCAGTTAACTGTGCATATCAAGTAATGAAAGAATTTGACTGTGCATTTCATTTCATACTGTTGTTGTTATTTGCCACTAAGTCTGAATCGATCCATAGCTGACCCTCTAGCAGGTTTTCAGAGGCAATATATCACAGGGAAGAAGATTGCCCAGTTTTGTTCTGTGGAACAGCTGGTGTAGTTGAGCCATGTGGTTTTGGGTTAGTAGCTCAGCACCTTACCACCAGAGCCTCCTCATTTCATACTAAGCTTGCCTTTCTTTCCCCCCCACCCCCTTTCCCTTTCTTTTCTTCAAAGAATCAGCAACAGCAGCAAAATCCACATCAGCAGCCCACAGCGCCCACGCAGCAGACAGCAGCCCCTCCACAGGCGCCTTCACAGCCGCAGAACAGCACACAGACCAATGGGACTGCCGGGGGCACGGGGACAGGGGCTGGGGGCGCTGGGGCAGGGCTGCAGCACAGCCAGGACTCTGGCCTTAACCAGGTGCCTCCCAACAAGAAACCACGGCTCGGGCCTTCAGGCGCTAACTCAGGCGGGCCTGTTATGCCCTCAGATTATCAGGTACTGTCCCAAACTGCATCCTTTTTTACCTTTATAAATTTTATGAAATAGCAACAAGATTAATAATAAACTGTATAATTCTAAAGTTTCTGATGCATAGCAAGTAATTACGAAGACTTTGGCCTTGGTCAGGCGCACATTAGTCTCCAGACTGACATTGTTGCTCATCAGTACTCTGGAGAGGTCCCTGATGGCAGACTTTCCCAGTGCAGTTCTTCTTTTGATTTCTTGGCTACTGATACCAAGAATGTTGATTGTAGAGCCAAGTAAACTAAAGCTGTTAATAATCTCAGTCTCTTCACCATCTATCAAGATACTGCTGGTCGGCCAGTAGTGGTAATCTTTGTTTTCTTAATGTTGAGCACATTAAAGGCTGCAGTCCTACATATTTGCTATGTATCAGAAAGCTGGACAATGATAGGAATGATAGAGAATTGATGCCTTTGAGTTGTGATGTTGGAGAAGAGTTTTGAATGGACTGCTAGGAGAACAAACAGGTTCATCCTGGAGAGGATGAAACCAGGCTGCACCTTGGAGGCAAGGATTCTTAAGCTCTGTCCGACATACTTTGGGCATGTTGCAAGGAGGGGACTGGTCCTTGGAGAGAGACATCATGCTTAGGAGGGTGGAGGGACAGAGAAAGAGAGGAAGACCCTCGATGAGATGGATTAATTCAGTGACTTGTATAATGGGGATAGTGTGTCAGAGACAATAATATTGGCTCAGGATAGAGCAGGGTTCAGAACTATTGTACATAGAGTCACTATGAGGTGCACAACTTGATGGCACCTAATAACAGCAACAACAATTTAAATTTTGTCGACAGGAAGCATATAGTCTTGTTTCTAGGCATTGTATGAAATTAAAAATTTTTAAAATCTTTATTTCGTGCAACTTTGAGATATTTGGCTTCCTGGTTTGTTTACCCTTAAGGAAGAAGCAGGCAGGGAAGGCGGTTAAAAGGGGAAAAGGGATGTCTGTTTATTTAAGACATTTGCTTTCATTGCTAGATAGGTTTAGAAGAAAAAGAGAGATTAAGGTTATGATTTTTCAAAAATAACTGTTAAATGTGTCTAAAAAGAAATTTTTTTTATTATAAAATTGTTTCTATTTACCAATTAAAGATTTTTCAGGTATCTAGGCTCTTGCTAGATTAAATTTCAAGATTAGGAAATACTTTTAGTTGCTAAGATTGAAAGAAAACTGCAATTATGCTTCTAATTCAAAGAATAAATACTTTTGGCAAAGTATTTGGAGAGAAAAAAAAGTATTTACTGAGAAAACAGCAGGGGAGCCTTACAAGAAACACCACCACCACCACAAAAGAAAAAAATATTTTCCAAGGTAGTAGGTAGTATCAAGCTAAGGGGAGCCTCAGGAAAAAAAAGGAAATTTAAGTGAGTGGTTTTTAAATTCTTGGCATTTTTTTCCCCTTTTAAATGGGAGGGAGCACCTGGAACCATAATCCCTCAGGGAACTAGGGAAAGAGAAGCAATTTAGATAGATATAATGGAAAACAAAAGCACAGGTTAGGGACCATATACTCCTGACAAAAATTGGAATAAAAGAAAACACACCAGAAAGCCAACTACCTAAACTACTATGTCAGCAGTCTGTTTTCACATGCTTGTCTTTATTGCCAGTTGCCTTCAAGTCATTTCCCCTTCAGGGTGACCTCAGGTGTACAGAGTGGCAGTGCTCCAAAGGGTTTTCAGTGGGTAAGGAGTTGAACTGCCAACCCAAAGATGGGTGCTTTGAATCCACACCAGCTGCTCCAAGAGAGAAGGCGGTGAAGCATGCACAGTCTTCTGTGCTATTTGCAACTTCCAAAATCCCACTGAAAGGTCATCTATGAGTTAGTTCCACTTCCATAACAATGAGTTGAATTGTCTTCTGAAGCTGCTTTGGGTAGATTCAAACCAGCAGTTTTTTGATTAACAATTGAGTACTCAGCCATTTGCACCATATAAAAACTCTCCACCATCGAGTTCTTTTGACCCAGAGGGATCCTATTGGACAGGATAGGTCTTCCTATAAAATTTCCTAGGCTTTAAATCTTTATTGATACAAACTGCCTTATCTTTCTTCCTCAGAGTGGCTGGTAGTTCTGAACCCTCAAATTTATTTACAAAATGTTTCAATATGTAACTATTGGCCCATACCTGACTCTCCAGTGGGTTTTCAGAGGCAGTAAATTGTATAAGAAGAGATTGCTCATCTTTCTCCCAGGAAGCAGCTAATGTGTTCAGACTGCATACCGTTTGCAATTACCGTTTGGTAATTCCTTACCACTAAGCCACAAGAGCTCCCTAACTATGCTACTCAGTCTCCTGTATATGTATCACATGGTTGCCTTGATAACTTCTTGTTCATGGTTCTCGCTAAGCAGAAAGTATGTAATACTTTCAGTTGGCCTCAGTTAAACTAACAGAGCCTTCAGCTTTGAATCCACTAAGACCACCTTAATCTTTGGGGAGTACTACATGAGGAGTTAATCATGAACATATTTAACATTTGTAATCAATTCCATTTTAAGAACTTTAATATTCAGTTATTCTTATATTAATAAGAAATATTCAGTCTTCACAACGTACTGACTTATCTTTGTGTCTCTGATTGCAGTATATACTCAATTTTAGACATAATACTAGGAATCTTTTGGTGGCCTGTTGTTAGTAGGTGCCATTGATTTGAATATTACTCATAGCAGCCCTCTGAACAGAAGATCTGAACTCAGTCCTATCCTATGCCATCCTCACAATCTGACACTCATGCCCATTGCTTCAGTTACTGTGTCATTACTCCCGATTGTGAGTCTTCCTCTTCTTCAGTGTGCCTCCGTATTTCCAAGCATGATGTTCCTCTGCAAGAAATAATCTCTCCTAGCAGCATGCTCAAAGTTTGTGAGACGAGGCTTTATCATCTTTGCCTCCAAGAAACACTCTGGCTGCACTTTCTGCAGGACACATCTGTTTGTTCTTTTGGCATTCCATGAGATATTGAGCACTCTTCTCCAACACCACAGTTCAAAAGTTCTTCTGCCATCCTTTTTCATTGTCCAGCTCTCAGAAGCATAGCAAGTGACTGAAGAAACCATGGCCTGAATCAGATGCACCTTCATCCTCAAACTGACGTCATTGCTCTTCAGTAATTGGAGAGGTCTCTGATTAAAGACTTTTCTAGTGCAGTACTACTCCTAATCTCCTGACTGCTGGTACCAGGTGGATTATGGTTCCAAGTAAGATGAAGTCATTGACAGTTTCAGTCTTTTCTCCATCTATCATGATGTCTGGTGGTGAGGATTTTTGTTTTCTGATGTTGATAGTCTATATTGAAGGCTACAGTGTTTAACTTTCTGTAGCAAGTGCTTCAAGTCCTCTTCACTTTCAGCAGGCAAGGTTATGTCACCCAGAGCAAAGGTTATTGATGCATCTTCCTCCAAAGTATGGCACTGTCAAATCAAAAGCTTGCAGTTTGAATCTGCCAGTTGTTCTGCAGGAAAGAGGGACAGTCTCCTCTCATGGGATTTTATAGACTCTTAAAAACAGACTAAGTGGTTAGCTATGAGTAGGTTCTGATTCAATGGCACATAACAGTGACAACCTAAATATCACATTATTTCAAAATCCAGCTTTTTAAAATGCTTCTTTGCCCTTAATTGTGCTTACCTTAAAATAAATCTTAGAGTTTACCTACAAAGTGGTTAGATATGTCTGCTATTTTGTTGGAGTGGAAGGCCTGGATGGTTCTCAGCAGCCTAACGAAAAAGTTCAGTTAAAGTCAAGTCAGGGAGCACTGGTAGCGTAGTGACAAGAAGTTGTGCTGCAGTCTCGAAGGCATATGGTTCGAATCCACCATCTGCTTCATGGGAGAAGGATGGGCAATCTACTCCAGTGCAATTTAGTGCTGAAAACCTGCTAAGGGTCAGCTATGAGTTGGTTCCGACTCGATGGTACACAACAACAACAACAAAGTCAAGTCAAAGGCTTTTGGTTAAGAATAATCAAAACTCAAAGAAATTGAAAGTACACCCTGGGAAGCCTTAGAAGAGTACTCTAAGGGGGGAGCTCTGGTGGCCTAGTGGTAAGGAGCTGCAACTACAGTCCTAGAGGCGCACGGTTCGAATCCACCAGATGCTCTGCCGGGGAAGGAGGGACAATCTCCTCCTGTACCTGTCAGATCTGATTTGACGGTACACTCACACAAAAATAATAAAATTTTAAAAAAAAGAAGAGTACTCTAAAGCCTCCCATAGTGTAGTTTTGATTTCTTGGGAAGTTTCCTTGGGGAAACCTGCCTCCCCCTGACCAGCCCTTCTTCATTGAATGCCTCCGGAGCACCCTTCTACTCTGAACATGTGGAGTTGTCCTGAGTCAAAAAGTTAGTTCAAAGGCAACTGGTGTTAGTTTGTTAAAAATCGTCAAAACTCAAAGAAAATGAAATAGAAGGCTTATGAAGAGCAGTTATTCTCTCTCTCTCTCTCTCTCTGTCTCTCTCTCTCTCTCTCTGCCTCTCTCTCTCTCTCTCTCTCTCTGGGGGTGTGTGTGTGTAGAGCATTCTTATTTAAAAGATTTAGAAGAGCATATGGCTCAAGGTAGGCTAGTGACAATGAAGTGTACTTACAAAGACAAGAAGAGGGAAAAGAATAGGGGATCAGCCATAGACTAATCTGAACAGGGTGGTTGAAGGCTTTCTCAGGAATCAAGCATCTTTGTATCTGGATTTCAGTTTCCTCATAAAAACTTTTCAATGAAAAATTAATAGCTATTTTTTATAATAACTAAGAAAGGCTAATGTGATATTTTTTGGGTTTTGATTACCCCTCAATGACTTTTCCTCCCATTTATTCAAGGCCAGACTTAACTTTTCTATAAAGGAGTACTTTTGTCATCTTTTCCATGGATTCCATTAGTGTTTTACGAGCAGGCATAATTAATACTTTTAAAATGGGTACATTAACATTTCTTTTTCCTTTTCTTAAATGATATTATAAGAGAGACACTGCAGCAAAGTAGATTCTCTAATGTCTGCCAGCAAAATTGCTATCAGTGCCTTTCAGCTATACAATGGCAAAATAAAACAAATTAAAAATTTGGAATTTTGAAAGGTTTCAGGGTTATGCAACTTAGGACTGTTTTATTACACTGTTTGCCTTGGACCAGATGCTGCAAGTCCACGTTGGCAGCCTTTGGAACTTGAGGAGTGAGCCCTACTGATTCATTCTTTCTTAACCTCCTGCTTTCACCTCAAGGGCATTTACATTTTTAACTCTGAGTAATAGCTTTATTATGCACATACTTTCCCTGTTTTCTCAGCCTCTGAACACCACCAGAGACATTAGCTCTACCAGAACACACCAAAAAACCCTCCACCAGCAAATCTCAGTATAAATCTTTTTTTTTCTTTTTCTAAATTAATTTTAATGAAAGTTTACAGAAACTTAGGGTTTCCAGTCATTCATTGTATAAATCTTTAAGGATACTGCTTATCTTTCTTCTTGAGGTTGGCTGGTGGATTTGAACCATTGAGCAACCTATAATGTATTAAGCTACCAGGGCTTCTTGACACTAGCTCTGGTGATACTTACATTTAACCAGATACCGTGTTCTTATTCTATAGATGAATTTTCCTTTTACATGTCCCCCCCCCCCATATTGAACATGAATGAATGCTTCCTTTAAAGTAATAATAATTGGGTTAATAGGAAATAGCAGAGTGTACTGAATTGGCGTACACTTGTCTCTGTCTTGAGGATAGTCATCTATGAAAATTGCCTTATTCTAAATCTAAAGGAACTCTGGTGGCTAAGTGCTAAGAAGTTGTGCTGCCAACCCAAAGGCATGTGGTTTGGATCCTTCAGCAGCTCCTAAAGAAGAAAAATGGGCAGTCTTCTCCCATGCAATTTACTGCCTCTGAAAACCAACTGGAGGATCTGCTATGAGTTTATTCCAACTCTCTGTGGTACACAACAATTGTTACTTGAAGTTTGTAAAAGTCATTTAGTGCTGCTACCATTCTTTAAAAATAATGGGGATTTTGTCCCAGCTTTGTGTCATTTATACTGAAAGTGTTAGCAGCACATCTGTATATACTGAAAATACCATTAATCCATTGTGCCAAACTGGTTATTCTTATTTTCAAATCTCAGTTCTGCAGAGGGCTTAACTTACCCTGAGTGAGTCAGGGAACGAACAGTGAGTCAGCATAAGTTTTGCCTCTGCCTTTCTTTGCCTGTCTAGTTTATCTCCCAAAGAAATCTAGCCAGACTTGTTGCTTGTCAGAACATGTGGCTGATTACAGGCTGTGATTTTAGATAAACAAGAAATGTATTAACAAGCTAAGTCAGCTGTCATGGTTCTAAACCAAGTCTAATGAGGAAAATGGCTCGTTTTTTTCTGTGCTTTTGTGATTAACAGAGCCCCTGGGTGGTACAAGCCTTTAACATATTTGTCTGCTAACCAAAGTTCAGAGGTTCACGTCCACCCAGAAGCACCTGGAAGAAAGACCAGTGAACTGCTTCTGAGAGAGCAGCCATTGAAACCACCCTGTGGAGCACATGTGAGGTGGTCATGAGTTGACTTCATGGTGACTGTTTATTGGGATTCACAGCTTAATCAGTTTTCTTCTCCCGTCAGTAATTTCCTTCTCTTGTTTCTCTTCTCAGCACTCCACTTCACGCCTGAATTACCAAAGCAGTGTTCAGGGATCCTCTCAGTCCCAGGGCACACTGGGCTACTCCTCCTCGGCTCAGCAGAACGCGCAGTACCACCCATCTCACCAGGCCCACCGGTACTGAGCGGCCCAGTCATCCTCCATTGGGCCAGGCCGGCCCCAGAGCACAGACTCAGCAATACAGTGTCTGCATTGAAAAGAACCAAAAATGCCAGCTGTGATGCCGGTTTTCAACTCCCATATTTAAGAGGAGAACTTTGTCTGTCTACGTAAAGAAGATTCTTGTGAAGTTTCCCTCCACTGTTCCTGCATGTGTTGCATTGTGATCTCTGAGAAAGCATCTGATCTAAGCCCAGCACTTAACTTCTGTAACCTTCAGGATTCTTTGAAGGATTTCCTGGTGCACCTTTCTCATGCTGTAGCAATCAGTATGATTTATCTTTTCAAAGCTCTTTTAATAGGATTTTAACGTTTTAGAAACAGGACTCCAGTGGTGTATAGTTTTATACTACATGAACTGTTTAGCAACACAGATGCACCTTTTAAAGCACTACGCTGTTCTCACAGGACCTAACTTTTTTGCTCATGGAAGTCTTAAGCAGAAACTGTTACTGTCCCAAAGTCCTTTAGTATTGTGTTTTTATTTATCTAGTTTCAGGGAAGGTCTAATAAAAAGACAAGAAATGGGACAGAGGGAACCTCCAACCAAAAACAACCTAGAGCTTTGCAGTTACTGTGCTTTCTGTTAGGGAGAACGGAAGCGTTTTGTAATTTTTATATAATCATGTGGAACTTGGTTCCAAAGATCATCATCTTATTCTGAACCGTGTTTAGTGAATAAGAATTATAATTTTTGACCTTCATATAGCTAAGTCTACCTTAAAAAGGGTTTGAAGAGCTTTGATGATATACAGTCCTCTGGTGACCTTCACCAGAAAGCTGCAAGAGAATATTAACTGCACTAGGATTTCTCTAAGAAGGAGTAATGTTGAGTAAATGATGTTTTACTTCCTGTTGAAGGAAAAGCTTTTTGTGTATTGTACATAAAGTTGGCTTCTGTAAAGAACTATTGGTTTCTGTACCTTTGGTCAGTTTGAGTAACTTTCTTTAATAATCAGGAGTACTCAAATAGAAGCCTAAATGTTAATCTGCTTTTAAAATAAAGAGGCAGTGTTACCCATTCATGGTTGCATTAGACATAGAGTGACTATTTTTAAAGCATGTTAGGTTCTATTCATGTTTAAAATACGTATTATGTATGCATAATTTTGCTGTTGTAACTGAACCTTAATTCTGTCAAGAATCTTTTCATTGCACTGAATGCTTTCTTTTGCCCCTAGGAGAAAACCTAATAATTGTGCCTAAAAACTATGGGCAGATAGTATAAGATTCTACTACATAAAGTGGATATTTGCATTTCCATAATCTATGAATTTGAAGCTGAGTTCATGCTTAGCCAGTTTTAGGGAGCCTCTTTCTTCCCAGAGTCAGGAATTAATGACTTCGACTTATTGCTCCCACAGTAACATAAGAGCCAAGAAATTTGTGTTCTTTTGAATGCTACTAGCAGCACCAGCCTTGTTTCAAACGTTGTTTTTTCTTGAGCTAGAAGAAATAGCTGTTGTTGTATATGCAAATTATATGCATTTTTTCTACTATTCTTTGTGAACTTATCTACCTGGTTAAGATACTCTGGGTCCATACACAAGTAAAATAAGATTTGAGTCAGAAGCCAGTATACATTTTGCACTATTGATGTGATACCGTAGCCAGCAAAGACCTTCCTGATCTCACTCAGCATAATAATCTTTGTTGATAATAAAACTGTATAGTAATACTCATCAAGACTGAATATGAAACAGTTGACATGCTTCATTGAAAGGAATTTATCCCTTCTCTTTTTTAAAAATAAGACATCAGTAGCCCTCTGTATAGTGCAGCTCCCTGTGTAAAATCCTGCCCTGTCCCCTGAAGCCCCACTGTCCAAGGTTAGCAGTTAGAAGATGCCTTGTTCATTCACTCAGTGTGACCAGTCCAGTGGAGGACACAGTGGAAGAACAACATATGCTAACAGTCCCTGAGGTGCTTATGGTCAGTTTGATGACAATTAATTAAGCTCCCCTGGGATGTCAATGCCTGAGATTGGCTCATATGTGAAGCCATCTTAAGAAATGAAGGTTCTTTTGTTTATTGGCATTATTCCAGATTCTGGTCTGTAGGGAATAGTGTTAATGGAGAAGTTTATCTGTCCACCTCAAAGAAAGTCAGAGAATAAATATCACAGAAGGCATTAGTGTATATTTTAAATGTTCACAACAATCCTTCAGCAACATTAGAGTGGCCCTTATAGGCAGAACACACTGTGTAGGAAATTGCAATAAAAACAGAAGCTCTATTTCTGTCCTTAAGGGGAACATAAATCCAATTAAAGAAGATAAACCCAAATATGTACATAAATGAAAATAATCCCTCTCAATACTTCATAAGCAGCTCTTGTGATAGATGCTGACACATTCACAGGCTATCCTTTCCTCACACGTAATGAATTTTACTGACTGAATTGATGTACACACTGGAGGAAGATTCCATCACTCCTTCAGAGCACACAGTGTTCTCTAGGGCATAACCAGAAATCCCCATGACCAACAAATGTGTTTGTCTGGTCATGGGGCTGACTTCTAACTCTGTTTTTGCCTCAGGGTTGGTGATGTGCACCAGTGCTCTTTACTCTAAAATAATTTTGGTTTGTAATATTTTTCTCTGTAAAAGGGAGCAAACCTTTTAACACACATCAAATAATAAACTCACTACCATTGAATTGGTTCAGACTCCACCATTGGGCCTGTCCCACCAGGACTCCCTTAAACACACATGAGGGTCTGGGAAGCTTTGAGATTAAAATTTACCTTTGTGTTCCAAGAAGGATTCTATTGTTCCTTGAAAATCCATTAGTCTCAATCCTTTCTCTTTAGGGTATAGGGCCACTCTTGAATTGAAGGACACATCTCGTCAGCTTGTGGGAACACTCAGACCAGAGAGGTCTTAGAAAGGAAGGATTGAGGCAAAGGGAGGTTTTCTGTTCTCCATAGTACAAGTCCATGTCAAGAGCTTTCTGATGAGATCCATGTTAGAAAAAAAATGAATTTTGGAAGTTTCAGGACAGATGATGAGCTCAAGACTAAGGCAGCCTTGGCAGCAGGGCTGGTACTGTGAAACGAAACAATCTTTGTGATGAGATAAGTCATAGAGTAACATACAGAAGCCAAGGACATGCATATTTTTTACATATGTGTGTGGTTTTGAAACATTAGTACTTAGAATGGTGGCCTTCACTATTTTTTAGCTCCTACAAAAAATATTTTACTCTTAGTAGAAGGGATGACTGTAGTATATGTTCACCATCTCTTTTGTTGAGGAGCAACTATAAGATGTATGCTTCCAGAATTATACTGTTTTCTCTGCTAATGATAAAAGGGGAATAGGGAGCAGAGTAATACCATAGCTTGATCTGCTTCCAATAATGACTGTAGCAGAAACTATACAATGAAGGAAGAAGTCTGTGAAAATTGCTTATCTGAAACTCCAATATCTTTCTAAGGAGTAGAGAAGACAGTGAAATGGCAGTTTAAGGAGTCACGTACAATGATATTTTATATAAAACATAGCATTACAGGTCCCCATAATCTTCAAGAATAGTCATAGATGTCATAGAGCAAAGTTCATTGTTTTAGGATTTTAAAAAATATGTTGTACCTAAGGCCATACTTACTCTTCTATGCTATCACTGCAAAGGAGTGATGTGTATGTATTATATGAAAAAAAAAATCCTTAATGCACTCTTATCTCCTAAATATTTAGTAAATTAATACTATTTAATTTTTTAAAGATTTGTCTGTGTAGACACTAAAAGTATTACATGAAATCTGGACTAAAGATGTCCTTTTTAACAGCAATTCAAAGTACTTTTTATATATGTTGTGTAGTATATCCTTTCTAAACCCCCCTAGTTTATATCTCCCATAATACCTATTGTGAAGTGTCCCCATCCTTGTCTCCTTTTTCAGTCATTTTATGCACGCATGCCCCCTTTCTGTGATGATAGAGATGACTGCGTATGCTTCCCTGCACTCTCCTGTGAAGCGTGTGCTCACTCAGACCAGCTGTGCCCAGGAGAGGGGTGGCCACTCCGCTCAGGGTGCAGGACGAGCCGCCCTTTGTAGCTGAATGTTCCCTGCTTTTGGGTTGTCCTGACATCCTTCTTGAAATGACTGTTAAAACTAATAAATTACATGGCATTTATTTTATATTCTTGATTGTAATAAAATTTAATTGACTCTATTTCTGTGTGGTTTTTTAAAAAAAATTATGGTAAAAAATGCATGAAACATTTGTCAAATAAACCATTTTTATACATACAACTCTGTGACGTTGGTTACGTTAATCATGTTGTGCAGCTATCATCACTCTTCTCCAGATCGTTCCACCACCATAAACAGCAGCTCAGTACTCCCTACACAATGCATTTCTCTACCTTCATTAGAATGTTTCAAGTAAGTGGAAGCATAACAATATTTGTCCTTTTGTGATTGATTTCGCTCAGCATGAAATGATTGCAAAGTTCAGCCATGTTGTAATGAATATGTTAAATACAGAAAGGCTTTGGCACTATTTAGTTTGAAAATTTTATCTGTATGCCTGCATGGTTTTAAGATGATTTCCCCCCCTGCAGAGAGTAGAGTCTTCTTATGAGTTGCAACAAGTCATTGTATTCAGAATGCTTATGTCTTCACAAGACCACAGCAGCAAAAATTGCATAAGTAAAACAGTGGGGTTTTTTTAACAGCTCTGAGGGGAACTTTTTAAAAAAACTAAAGTGATTTACAACTCGGAAGTTCACATGCAAGGTAGAGGTGAAGTAAGGAACTACTTATGAGGTTTTCCGTCCATTCCAGCAACTAAGAAATAGTGAGAAGAGTTGGGACCTCAGAAGGCTTTTAGGACCAATTAGTAGGCTGTGTCCAGGAGAAAATGAATATACTTACCAGTAATGTTAATGCTCACCCACAGCTCTTCTGGGAGGATCTAAGTTGTTGAAGCACCCTCCTTTGTTTTCAGCTGGGAGCT